CCTCCAGAAACTTGTCTCCTTCAAATTTAAGAATCATGTACTACGGGGGAGAACTAGGTAACTATCAAATCATCCTAAATACCCCAGGAGTCGACCTGAAGACTGACAGAACAAACTCCACAACTAAAGGGAAAGCAGAGGCCACATGGAAGCAGATTCCTACAGCTGGGAGTTCCAGTATTATGGGGAATAAAGTGGGGCAAGTGGATTTCCTTGTCTCGTTCCTGATCTTAGGTGAAAAGCATTCAGTCTTTCACCATTGACTAGGATGTTACTTGTGGGTTTTTTCTATATACATATGGCCTTCATTATGGTGAAGTTTATCCCCTCATACCCACTCTGTTGAGAGTTTTTATCATTAAATCAGATGTTCAATTTTTTCAAATGGTTTTTCTGAATACTGAAATGATCTTATGATTTTTATTCTTCAATTTAACATGTTGTATCATGTTGACTGAGAATACTGAACTATTTCCACATCCCCAGAAAAAAATCCCTGAAACTAATATAACACTGTATGTTAACTATAGTGGAATTAAAATAAAAAATAAAATAAAACCAGAAAAATCCCCGCCAAAGAACGATGTACTACATTAATTTAAATATTTTGTGCATTATAATATATACAGGTGGCTAAAGCTTGCTAGATTCTGGAAGAGAAATATCTTTAATAAAAACACCTAGCATTCTTCAGGTTCCCAAGGATCATAAACATAAGACAGATGACAAACTCTGGAGACAGAACTTTCTGCCTAGGCAAAGGTTGTGTCACTCTGGGTGAGGCCTGTACTCCGTGAATGCTGCTTCACACATTCTCAGATCACTAGCCAAGTCGACATTTAAATGTGGCAACCCATTTTGAATGGGTATTCCCACATATCACTTTTTTACCTTGGGTCTCAGTTTCCACATTTGCAGAAGAAAGCTGTTACCTGAATAATCCCTAAGGTCTCACAAAATCTATTTTATAGGTGACAGAGAAAAATTAAAGGCAGAGTTGGAAAATAAATATTAGATTATAAATAGTCTTTGCTATCTAGTACAGGTAGAAGGTTGGAGAGCCCAGTTATATGACTTTAGTAAGTAACTGAAAAGTTAACAAGAGAGGTAAGTATGGACCAAGATTAAAAATGAGTCTCTAGAAATCTCCGATGCGCACAGATACAGTGACTTTATATTTCAATTGAGGTTTGTGAAATATTTTATTCATCATACATTTTCAGTCTCCTTCCCACACCACTACTGTCAAAGTAACATATTTTTAAAGCACACACAGTTAAAGTTGTAGAAAATAACTTTGGCTGAGCAACCTTCACATAAAACATAGCATGTTTTAGGATTGTGTAATTACTGGGAGGGGAGAAAGGAAAGCCAGGAATACACAAGGAACTATCATGACTTTATGTAAACTCTGAAAGGTCTTGTTTTTGCTTTAGTTAATGGAACTCATGTTAGTCTCTCCAATAAAAAGTAATGTACACGACGGTAAACACTACATTAAAGATTAATTTCAAGTCTAGAGTAACAACCACCATCAACTTCCTCCTTGCCAAAAATATTATCACTTCCCTCGGAAGTTGGTAACCTATTCAGATCAATTCTTTTTCCAGCTATATTTTATCCACAAATTATAAAGAAAAACAACTTAAATATATCAAAAACTAAAACTCCAAACTATGTGAATGAATACATTTTAATTATCATTGCCTCAATAACTAAAAGAGTAAATCAGACAAATATGCTATTCTTTCAATCATAGTTAAAATTATATTTTAATAAAGGTCGGAATTCTCACACAAAAAAGTAAATGCTAATTAGCCTAATTATTTCTTTTTTAAAGACTTTATTTATTTGACAGAGAGAGAGAGAGACAGTGAGAGAGGGAACACAAGTAGTGGAAGAGGGAGAAGCAGGCCTCCCGCGGAGCAGGGAGCCCGACGTGGGGCTCAATCCCAGGACCCTGAGATCATGACCTGAGCCGAAGGCAGACGCTTAAAGACTGAGCCACCCAGGTACCCCAAGTCTAATTATTTTTTAATCGCAGATGTTTACACTGTATTACACTGTGTACAGTGATTTAATGATTCTGCCAACAGTACAAGGTGTTTGAAAAGTACAGATCTTTACCTGTACCTGAAAGACAAATTCCCCCAAACAATCTGACCGAAGGTTCACCAACTGTATACATGCAATGGAAAAAGTCCTCAGTCATGAATGTACTATTATTTTTAAAGGCCCTTAAGTCCATCTCAAATTGGTAATTTTGGAAACAGCTTGTTTAAAAATAAAAACTGATCATTCGTTAAAAAGCATACCTCCAAGTGACAGAACCATGTGCAGGTTCAAGTGAAGGCTGTAAAACGTAGACAGCATATTCGTGTGTCACTGCTAACAGCCAGATCACAAGGGATCAAGGAGTATCCCATGCTGCTCATCAAGAACTCCGAGGGAATTCAGTTTCCAATCACATTTCAAGTAATACAGAACTCAAGTTCAACCTTCCTGCATCAACGTTATCTCCTTTTCTTTTAAGCAGCGGTAAGTTAAGAAATCATGCCAGCCGCACAGCCGACATGGAAACACAAGCAGCTATCAGTGTGCTGGAGACACCACAGAATGAATTCTCTACTTCCCTAATGGGTACCCACATGTCATCAATAATGAAAAAGGGTGTATTAATGGTCCTCTGGGACAGATGAACAACAACGGCCTATGGAAATGTTGGATAGGAACTGAATCGTTCAGAGAGCGTTATGAACTGGGATTTAAACCTGCTTCAGCAGGTATCTCGGACGTATGTACACAGGCAGTCACACACATAGCATTTTTGTGCTTTCCCCTTTACTGGAAACATGGAAGACTTGGCAAATGCAGTCAACTCTGACAGAACAAAGATGACAGATCACTGTCACTAGGGAAGCCAATCACAATTCGTTCTGCGATTATAATTATCTGTAAGAAAAATTGTTTAAAAAGAGCCACAAAGGCTAAAAATGCAAATAGTAATGTGAGAATTAAGACTGATAATGAACTTCAGGAAGTTTCCAACTTAAGAAGGGGGCACTGTTCTAGACACTTTACTATAAACTAGATGGATGAAACTTAAAAATTATTTTCTTATTACGATTCTCAGGCTAACTCGCTAATGCATAGAGTTCACGTCCTAGAAATACTACACCTTTGCAACTTTAGAATGTACCACTGTAGGAGTTAAGACCTATAAGAAACAGTAACATAAAATGTAATAATTCATTATGAAGTGTGTCATTTGAGGGGAAAACATCTTAATTAGAAGAATTAGAAAAACTAGAACCCTTTTTGGTCTAAACCTAAGAAGGGTACCTATGGGCCTCAGCCATTCCTGAGGTGATAAAACAAGAATTAGAAAGATTTTAGAATCTGAGTTATAATTGAGTCCTAAAGTAGTGAAAAACAGAGAAACAGAAATAGATGAGAAATAAGAGAGGGGAGATCATAGGAAAACATCAGGCTTGACAGCTTCCTGAACCTATCACTGAGGGATACTGTTAACCCAGAACAACGTGGTTCGTAAATCCTGTCACTCAGAGGGCAAGGGGCCGGAGGTGTGCCTGAGAAGGCAGGTGAGGCACCGGGAGCGGAAGGCAGAGACAGCCAGCTGCTGGCTTACACTCATCATCTCAAATCAACTACCACGGGGGGCAGTGTGGCGCAGTGGAAAGGGACAGGTTTTCCGGCTTGGTCTGTTATTACCTAGGTGACTTTTGCCAACTCATTTAGCTTCTCTAAATATATGTTTCCTCGCAAGTAAAGGGGAGATGCACCATGTAATTGAAAAACTGCTGGGATCAAATGTAATAGGTAGTGTGTTAATGCAGCTGCGACTGTAAGACAGAATTTAAAGTATTTTATAATCCACCAGAGCAGGGTAAGTGAAGTAGGTACAACTAGAAGTTCTGCTAGACTTGGATTAAATAATGGGTAAGACTCACCAGAGAATACTTGAGTATTTGCAGACAGTAAATAATTAGGGCAATGCCTTATTTTTCTGTCCAAACCCAGCTCAGGTAGCAACTCCTTCAGAAAGCCTTCCCTTACTAACCATTCCATATTGTGTAGTTCGCACACATTTACGCGGTGACACTACTACGGTATCATTAATTCATCCGTCTTACACAGACTGGGAGTTCCTGGAGGACGCGGACTTCACCTACTCGATTCTGTATTTTCAGTAGACAGTGCCTGGCACATAGTAAGTCTATCCACGATTACTGAATTGAGCAGTCTGTGTTTTAGGTAATTATGAGATGATATGACGCGGGTAACAGCAAACTGCTACTTCCTGAAATAAAACTTAACTTTTTAGTAGAAGACATGTGATTAATCCAAGCATGCACACAAAGAAGTGTTAACCGAGCCAAAAGAAACCGCGAGGGGATCCATGAAAATCGAACATCAGAACTCGAAGCCCATATCGTCTTGTGCCCTTCTACTCCGTTAGCATTACCTAGCAAACCTATGCTGAACAACTGTTGAAGAAAAGATCTGTTTGTTTTTTGTTTTCTTTTTGGTCACGACACCTTGGGCAGTAACACTAGTGATGCATTTTGCAGAAAATAAACGCTGACAGAAATCCACAGCAAGATGGGCTTCGACAGCGCGGGGTGCGCTCGACACCCCAAACTTCCTGCCGTGAAACCCGCAGGTCGAAACCTGTGCGCGGCAGGTCCCAGCGCCCTAGCAACTGGGGATTTTCGGGCTCACTTTTCCTCGGGGCGTGGGAGGGTGGGGGCGGGGAGGCGCGGTCTCCTAGTCCCGGTCCGCGCGCGTTGCCGGGAACACCGCGGGCCGGTTCCAGGTTCGGTCGCCGCACGGCACCCCGGGGGCCGTCGGTACCCGGCGCGCCTCCCCCCGCCCGCGTCCGGATCCCGCGGCCCCGGGAAGGCCCCGCCGGCCGCCCCCCGCGTCCCCCACCCCGCGGGCGCGCACCCGGTAGCTCGGCGGCCGCGCGCCGCACTTACTTAGACCTGCTCGCAGGCTGCAGGGTCGGCCGCGGACTCGGAACCCGGCGCTGCGCAGCAGCGTCCCCCCTCGCCGCTTCCGTCGCTCCGCATCGTCCTCCGCCAGCCGCGGGGCCGCCGCCGTCGCCACGGTCTCGCCCGGAGCTCTTGCGGCGCCGCTCTCGGTTCCTCCACTTCCGGCCCACGCTCGGTGTCGCCGGCAAATCTCCCCGCCGGCGCCCACATCACCTGCTCTCCTCTCCGCCTTCCTCCGCGAAGTGGGAACCCGACACGCCCTCCGGGGCATGCGCACAAACCGCAGTCGGGGGAGGGGGGGGGGGTCCCCGCGACGGTGGCCCGCAGGGACAAGATACCTTGGCGCCTGGTCCCCAGCGTGCTGGAGCTCGCTGTAGGCTGCCGGGTGGTTTCTGCGCCGGGGGCCCCTGGAGGCCTTCCGCCCCTCCTCCGAGGTCCCCAGGGTGAGTGTTGGTAACGCACCAGATTTCCCTTCGGGACACAGCTCTAAGCGTGCACACAAATAAGTATTAATTACATAGGAAAGCGTGTCTGCCTAATAGAATTATGAGGGTATTAGAGTGTGTTTCCACTAAGTACTTAAAAGGCGTGCATAACTCATTTTGTTTCTGTTTTCTCCCAACCCTGCCCTCTCCTGCCTCTATCAGAGGCCTGAACCTGGGGAGATTTAGAGAAAAAGAAGGCAAAATTATCTTACTTTTGCAAATTTTACAAAAGCACAAGACCAGTGGAACATTCCTAGAGCCCAGGTGCTGGGAAGTGGCCACACAAATGGGCCCTTGAAGCTGGTGTTTTGTTAGATTCACTGTCTTTTTCTTTTTTAAGATTTTATTTATTTATTTTGAGAGAAAGCACAAGTGGGGCGAGGGGCAGAGGGAGAGGGAAAGAGAAAGAATCTCAAGCAGACTCCCTGCAGAGCATGGAGCCTAACTCAGGGCTCCACCTCACCACCCTGAGATCATGACCTGAGCTGAAATCAAGAGTCGGAGGCTTAACCGACTGAGGCACCCAGGCACCCCTCATTATCATCACTATCAACCCCCCTGGGCACCAGGTTGTACTAAATTGTTTTTCTACAAATGTCTGTCCCCCTCCCTCATTCACTCCCTATTCTCTGTACCCTATTTTATACATATACAAAGGATATTTCATATTTACAAACAAACAGACAAACATGTATCCTCCATCAGATGGAGAGCTCTAGGTCATAAGCTCTTGATAATAGCTTCTTGTTGTTTGTTGCCTAATAAATGCCAGGCACTAAGGTAGACTCTTTACATAAATAAACTAATAATCACAGCAATTCTAGAAGATACTTAATGAAAAACCTCTGATTATCTTTGAACCAAGCATTAGAAAGGCTAAAATATTCTGGTAAATTGGAGATGAAGATTTGAATTAATTTGGAGTTTGGTTTCATAATCCATGGTTCTTCTCATATCAAAAATATAAAGTACAAACTCTGACATTGTAGGAGCTCGGTAGATGCTGAACAAGGTGCAAATGTGCACAGACAAATGCCTTTCATAAGATGGGCAACTGTGGGGGGTCCTTTACTAACACTGTTGGGTGTTACTCCAAAACAAATTGATAATTAAGTTGAATAGTAGGTAGAGAAATTACCATCACAAGAGTATCATGTGACTTTAAAACTTCATAGCTAATTTCAGAGAAATATTTGGATAACTTAGGTGAATTAGACATACAAGGAAATTCATTGAATGTTGTTGGGCTAGAAGGAGCCCTAAGTCTTGCTCTACTACAAACTAATACTGTGAATTAAATAAGTGTCAGTTTTGTAAAATGAGATTTTTGTACACTAAGTGCTCCTAAGGGCGCTTAACAGCTCTAAAATGTTCTCAGAGTCTGTTGCAGCAAAATACCACTTTCTTAAAATACCACATCTTAAAACAACAGTATTTTATGCTAAGAGGAAATAATTATAAAAGCTGTTTCCCCCATCGTCATGGATAATTTCTCAATTCTCCATGAAAGAAAACAAACCATAACAAAACACTGGTAGAAATCAACAGCTCCTGGAACAGAAGGACTAATTTTGTTTTCATCTCAATCTTGAATACCTAGCACAATTACTGTATTGGTGCTGAATAAAGGTTTGCCAAATAATTTTATTTTGAATCCTTGAACGGACGCTTAGCAGTCCATAGTTGATTTCTGGGCATGCAACTCTTTATGTCTGTATTAAGAATGATATATTATGTGTTTTATGAATTATGTATTTCTGTATTAAGAGATAAGAACTCACGTCAAAGTTGTACCATTGTGAGAAACAAACAGGGAAGGACAGCCTTAGGCAATTTTGCAAGAGCCTATTTTTCCATTTAAAGTAAACAGCAGATGTTTTGGGAGGGAAGATGCCCTTTTCAATCCTGGGCATTTTCACAACCAACCAGTGAGATGAGTGTTGGTACCCCTGTTTACAGAGAACAGAACTCTATGATTCTGTCACTTGCTAGTGAGCAGGCCTAGCAGAGAGAGGACTAGGTTCATGGTCCAAGTAAGGAGCTAGTACACAAAGTACTCTCGGTTCTTGCTCAGAGAGGAAATCCACTCTCATGGGTCAACCACTTGCAAAGAGCACCTGCTGCTTCGGGAGGCTAACGGGAGTTGTGTTTCTAGTCACACTGTTACCAGGACTCCCTGGAGTCCTCCGCAGCCTTGCAAGGCGCGCCTCTGCCCATCGCGAGCGTCACTGCGCCTGCGCACATCATCCCTATGCCATCACGGCCTGGGGCTGCGACTGCGGCCGCGCACGTCATCTTCATGATGTCGGGGCCTCCCTGGCCTTCAGTGGCGATTGCGTATGCGCCCGGAGCAGCTGGCGGAACAGGTCCTCGGGCGGCGGCTTCCGGTTTGGTGACCGCACCTGCGGCTCCGCTTCTGGTAGGACGTTTGTGCGGCGGCGCGGCTGGGGAGGGGCCTCGGAGGCCACGGGGCGAGCCTGAGGGCAAGTCCGGGCAGGCGGAGGCCGGGCCAGCGTGACCGGGGCGGAATCCCTGGTCTTCTCAGTCCGGCGAACGCTTCTGGTCTTGAAAGTCGGTTTTTCGTGTTTCGGGACAAAACGTCTTTCAGTCCCTCCGCCCCTCCCGGCGTCCCAGGGGCGGGGCACGGGCCACCTTGGCGGCGGCGCTGCGTTAGAAGGCGGGCCTCGGGCGCGGGGTTCTTGATCTAGACCTCCGCTGCTGGACTCGGGCGAGGGCGCTGCCGTTCGTTGGCGTCTGCCTCCCAGAGACTGTTGGCTGCTGTGATGGCGTGGTTACAGACGTTCTGATTGCGGGGACCCCTCCTCCCCAAGCCGGTGGGGACCCTCGGGCCCAAGGAGGTAACGGGATCTTCCCCCGCGGCGGGGATTCACCCGGGATCCGTGGCGGGTTTCCTTGCGGTGGGGGTGGGGGGCGGAGGAGTGGTGTGGACCCCCCCGGTGGTGGTGCAGGCGTGTTTCGGTGGAGTCGGACAGAGATACTGGAGCCTTAGTTCTCTTCTTCTGTTTCGTCTTTGGTCAGCCTCCCGGCTCCCACCGCCTTCTGGCCTTTTCCTTACGCAAATTCCTTTCTGCTGAGATTCTCCCTGATTGTCACAAGTGCTGCGGGAGGGAGGCTACTGTAAACCCTTCGTCTCTTAGGGAAGCGCATCATCTCGTCAGGGGGTGCAGGGAGGAAACTTAAGTTGTCCCAGTCACTTTCTCTCCAATAAAATACCTCTGAATCATCATATTCACGGAATCATCATATTCACCTTGCTAGGACGTTTTGTTGTGTCACTTTAGGACAATATAGGCAGCAGCTGAATAGACGATGAGTCATTACTCTATGCTAATTGTATTCATTCTCTTGAGTGTTTTGCTTATTTTTACCAAAGAGTAAAGCGTACCCCTCCTCTATTTCCTTAATATTTTGTAATACTTATATTTTAAATATTACTTGCATCAACAAGCATTATGGTACTAAATTAACCAAGGATTTGCTAACTGCCAAGTATTGTGTTAAGCACCTTGTGTAAATATCTGAGGTCATCCTCATCTTACCTTCTACAGTTATTAGCCCCATTTTAGACTTCTGGAAACTGACTCTTAGAGAAATTATGTGGTTGCCCCATGTCACACAGCTATTAAGTGTTGAGTCCACAGTTGAACTCATATTTATTGGACTCTAGAGCCTGAACCCTAACCACAAACTGTTTTGTTTTTTCACAAATCAAAAACATCAGCTAACAAGCTCAGAATCCAGAAAATAAAATTACAGAATGTTTAAAAGGAAATCCCTTTATGTTTGATGTTTAAAGGAAATCCTAATATTTGACCTTTTTTATACAATTTTAATTTATTTTTATTTTCTTGTACAGTTTGACAGTTGATCTTAGCCAAAAGGCCGAGAGGCGATTTTCCTGTACAATTTTAATGAGCAAAAATTTTCAGTCTATTCATTTTATACTAATTTTGGAACCCTTGTTATATTTATAGCAGTTTTGGCATACATGTGCAACCTAGATTTCAGTGTTGTTATAAAGTAATTTGAGTCTTTGCCTGGAACTTGCTGAGGGAAACTGAGACCAAGTGGAACATTCAGATAGATCAGAAACTGTATACCCATCTTGAACATTCCAAGAAGTATTTCTTAACATTCTTTGTTTTATGTACATACTGTATGTGATTTGTAAACATAACAGTATATACCATAATGTACTGACTTGAGAGAGAGCATGTTTTGAGAGGTAAACAGTGAACGTGTATAACCAGGTGGTTCAGTCAGTTATGCAAATGAGACAGAGGAAGCAGTTACTGTATTCAAAGAGAAAAGTCTCAGGAAAGTGCTCTCTCATGGGTTTGTCTCTTGGTCTAACTGACTCCATGGAAGTTGAGTTTCCTTTGTCAGGCATTAGACTGAGAAGTGTGGCCTTTTTCCCGAAAGGCCACCAAGTGGCTGTTGCGAAACTTTCCCAGTGCAGTCATAGCTGCTAAATGTTTTTGACGGAACTGAATCCCGCGAGGCTCACTGTGGCGGGGAGTGGGGGTGGTGTATGACCAGCCCCTGGCCTTTCCTAGTGTGTTTCTCCAGGAACTCAACTCTAGGTGCTCAGTAATTCATTCCACAAACAAACCTACTACATGCCCAGGCGCTCCTGGCCTCCGGAGACTGGCAGTGTGGAAACCGTGGTACCATGACCAGCAGTTGGATTTCTTGTGCCAGCTGTCCGGTAGTGCGGCCTTGTGCTCGTAGTGTGTGGCTGTCCTGTTTGCTGCCGTGGGCAATCTCATGGTCTCTGAGGCTACAGTGGATCTCCCTGCTCTCTAGGCGACACAGGGATGTGCCAGGAGGTGTCTGAAACCTCCTGGTTTAAATCCGTTAAAGAAAACTTTAACAAGATCGGACACGGTTTATATTCCTGGAATGCACATTTTTACTCGAAGTCTTTTTTGGAAAAGTTAGTTGATTTTAATGTTACGTAGTTTAAATCATATAATAGCTCTGATATCTTATAGATTCTAATAGAATTTGCTGGGGCGCCTGGGTGGCTCAGTTGGTTAAGCATCTGACTCCTGATTTTGGCTCAGGTCATGATCTCAGGGTGTGAGATGGAGCCCCGTGTCGGGCTCTGCACTGGGCATGGAGCCTGTTTAAGATTCTCTCTCTCTCCCACTCCCTCTACCCCTACCCCCTCTAAAAAATTTGCATGAATATTTAAGACTTCAAAGAAGTTTCACACTTGGGACCACTTTAGGAAACAGTCTAGACCCTAACCCAGCAAGGTACCTGTTATTTCCTCTCTGACTTTAGAAGATGCTTCAGTGAAAAGTTCTGCCTCATGATATTTTACTTTTGTTAAAACACAGCATTTTATAATTAGTTCCCATTATATCCCCTTTCTCTTTACAGAACGTATGCTCTCTTAAGGCAGAAACATACTGTGTTTGCCCATAGTATGGTGCCTGGCACATACAGTCAGTGAATTGTTGGGGGCAAATGGCATGTGAATATGAACAAACAAGTGTACTAATGAGTTTAAGTTTATAAAGCTATTAAGTAACTATGATAAAATAGAGTTAAAAGAGGTAGGTCAAGTAAGGATTTCCTGGGGAGGGTATTTTGAGTGGGGTTTTGAACACGAGTGATTTGGCATAGCTAGCAGTGAAGTGAAAGTAAACGCAGACGTGGGCTTTGTTTACCTTTTTTTTTTTTTTTTTTTTGGTGAACTCCTACCTATGTAAGAGTTCAAACTTCCTGCAAAGCCGAGTTTCAATTCAGTGATTTGTTAAAAACGTCTGTTTCTGATGCTGTATGGTACTCTGACAGAAAAGGAGGAGAAATGTAAGTCAGAAGCCCAGAAAAGAAATGAATTGAGCCTTGTTTTTCTGTTGTTATTCCTTTGCACGATGAGCTAAATAAGGAATGGAATCATTAATTCAACTGAAGTTAGAATTTAGGGAGAAAGACAGAGTGGTCAATTTCAGTATTGTAAATGTAGCAAGAAGGGCTGGTGATACTTTTGATAATAAATACTAAATGGGATTGAAGTTTAAATGTAGAGATTGAAAAGAGACATAATTTCTAGCACTAATTCATTTTCATTTAGCAAACATTGACCACGAACGAGGCACTCTCTTTAAGGGCTTTACGTGAACTATTTAGTTGAATTTTGTCCCTTATTGAAAGTTATTCTCTTTTTGCCTTATTAGTTAAACCAGAGGATTGACCACCACCTCCATGGCTGCCTCACAGACTTCGCAAACTGTTGCATCTCACGTTCCTTTTGCAGACTTGTGTTCAACTTTAGAACGAATACAGAGAAGTAGAGGACGTGCAGAAAAAATCAGACACTTCAGGGAATTTTTAGATTCTTGGAGAAGATTTCACGATGCCCTTCATAAGAACCAAACGGATGTCAGGGACTCCTTTTATCCAGCAATGAGACTTATTCTTCCTCAGCTAGAAAGAGAGAGAATGGCCTACGGAATCAAAGAAACTATGCTTGCTAAACTTTATATCGAATTGCTTAATTTACCTAAAGACGGAAAAGACGCCCTTAAACTTTTAAATTATAGAACGCCCACCGGGCCTCGTGGAGATGCCGGAGACTTTGCAACAATTGCATATTTTGTGTTGAAACCAAGGTGCTTGCAGAAAGGAAGTTTAACCATACAGCAGGTAAATGACATTTTAGACTCAATTGCCAGCAATAATTCTGCCAGAAGAAAGGACCTAATAAAGAAGAGTCTTCTTCAGCTAATAAGTCAGAGTTCAGCGCTGGAACAAAAGTGGCTTATACGGATGATTGTAAAGGACTTAAAACTTGGTTTCAGTGAGCAGTCTGTATTTTCTGTTTTCCATAATGATGCTGTCGAGTTGCATAATGTCACCACAGATCTGGAGAAAGTCTGTAGGCAACTGCATGATCCTTCCATAGGACTCAGTGACATTTCCATCACTTTATTCTCTGCCTTCAAACCAATGCTGGCTGCTATGGCAGATACTGAGCAAATCGAGAAGGCCATGAAACACCAGAGTTTCTACATTGAAACCAAGCTAGACGGTGAGCGTATGCAGATGCACAAACAGGGGGATGCGTATCAGTACTTCTCCCGAAATGGTTTTAACTATACGGATCAGTTCGGCAATTCTCCCCGGGAAGGTTCTCTCACACCGTTCATTCACAGTGCATTTAAAACGGACGTACAGATCTGTATCCTGGATGGAGAGATGATGGCCTTCAATCCTAACACACAGACTTTTATGCAAAAGGGGAATAAGTTTGATATCAAAAGAATGGTGGAGGATTCTGATCTGCAAACTTGTTATTGTGTGTTTGATGTACTGATGGTTAATAATAAAAAGCTGGGACATGAGATCCTGAAAAAGAGGTATGAAATTCTTACTAGTGTTTTTACACCAGTACCAGGTAGAATAGAAATGGTGCAAAAAACACAAGCTCATACTCAGAAAGAAGTGATCGACGCTTTGAATGAAGCCATAGATAAAAGGGAAGAGGGAATCATGATAAAACAGCCTCTGTCTATTTACAAGCCAGACAAAAGAGGCGAAGGATGGTTGAAAATTAAACCAGAGTACGTGGATGGGCTGATGGATGAGCTGGACATCTTAATTGTCGGGGGCTACTGGGGTAAAGGTTCTCGAGGTGGGATGATGTCTCATTTTTTGTGTGCTGTAGCAGAGAAGCCTCCTCCTGGTGAAAAACCGTCAGCGTTTCATACTCTGTGTCGTGTCGGTTCGGGTTATACCATGAAAGAGCTGTACGATCTGGGTTTGAAATTGGCCCAACATTGGAAGCCTTTTCATAGAAAAGCTCCACCAAGCAGCATTTTGTGTGGAACAGAGAAGCCTGAGGTGTACATCGAGCCTTGTCATTCTGTCATTGTTCAAGTTAAGGCCACAGAGATCGTCCCCAGCGATATGTATAAAACTGGCTGCACACTGCGTTTTCCACGAATCGAGAAGATAAGAGAAGACAAAGAGTGGCACGAATGCACCACCCTGGATGACTTAGAACAGCTTCGTGGGAAAGCATCGGGAAAGCTTGCGTCCAAACACCTTTACGTTGGTGGTGATGAAGAACCACGGGAGAAGAAGAGGAAGGCTGCCCCGAAGGTGAAGAAAGTTATTGGAATTATCGAGCACTTAAAAGCACCCAACCTTTCCAATGTAAACAAAATTTCTAATATATTTGAAGATGTGGAGTTCTGTGTCATGAGCGGAACAGACAGCCATCCGAAGCCTGATCTGGAGAACAGAATTGCAGAATTTGGTGGTTATATAGTACAAAATCCAGGCCCAGACACATACTGCGTGATTGCAGGGTCTGAGAACATTAGAGTGAAAAACATAATTTCTTCGAATAAACATGATGTTGTCAAGCCCGAGTGGCTGTTGGAGTGTTTTAAGACCAAAAGCTGCGTGCCGTGGCAGCCTCGCTTTATGATTCATATGTGCCCATCAACAAAGGAACATTTTGCCCGTGAATATGACTGTTATGGTGACAGTTATTTTGTTGATACAGATTTGAACCTACTGAAGGAAGTGTTCTCAGGGATTAAAAATTCCAGCGCACAAACTCCTGGAGAAATGGCTTCTGTGATTGCTAATTTAGAGTATCGGTATTCCTGGGACCGTTCCCCTCTCAGTATGTTTCGACACCACATTGTTTATTTGGACTTGTATGCTGTTATTAATGACTTGAGTACCAAAATCGAGGGAACGAGATTAGCTGTTACAGCTCTGGAGCTTCGATTTCATGGAGCCAAAGTAGTTTCTCGTTTAGCTCAGGGAGTGTCTCATGTAATCATTGGGGAGGATCAGAGCCGTGTTGCAGATTTAAAAGCTTTTCGAAGAACTCTTAAGAGAAAGTTTAAAATCCTGCAACAAGATTGGGTAACTGATTCAATAGACAAGCATGAGTTGCAGGAGGAAAATCTATATTTGGTTTAAAGCTAGCTTTTCTAGTGAGGAAAGCCTCATTGTAACAGGTGGTCATGATAAAATATTAAACTACATTTTATTTTTATCCCTTAAAATTTATGATTAAACAGATTATTAGATATAGAAAAACAATAATTTTAACTTTTGAGATAGATAAGATACTGAATGGACCAAGACCAAGAAAGAAAAAATTCTTTTAGAGGTGTAGTATTTAATGACTTTTAAAACCAAGATGAAATAAATAGTTTAAAGAAGAGACATTTATATAATATCCCTGTAGAAATCGAGAATTTTGACTCAAGTATTAATCAAATACATTCAGAAGCTTTTAGAGTCATTAAAAGCATTGATCTAAGTGGATTTTCTGAGGTCAAAATTTTAATAGTTTTTATCTAGTAAAAGCATTGCAAGAAAGAAGCAGAATTGTTACAATTGGACTTGTAAAAAAAAATATGTCTTTTAAATTGAAGGCTAAAATTCTTTGAAGTGTGAAATGTAAACAAATTTATTTTTTAAGGTTAAGGGCAAGCTCATGAATAAGACCTTGTTAATGATGTCATTAGGTAAATTAGGAGAAGTAACTTAAAATTAGATGAATATAATTAAAAGAAACTTACAGTTTTAAAAGTACTTGGCCCACATTTATTTTTTTTCTACAACAGAGCATGTTTTAAAGAGAGTGTTTTTATGTGAACTGTACTCCAGAATAAATCGTATTCACAAAGAGTGATTTTCCTAGATGTAATCCATCGAGTCCATGTCAAGATGGCATGTGTTGTAACTTCCGTTACAGAGAGATAAATTGCTCTATTTAAAATGATTTTTATCTTTAGATTATTTAAACTCAATATGTATAATATGTATTATGTCTGGATTTATATACCAAATTTTAGAATAGTCTTTCATTTTGAAAAATATGTTTTCATGACATCTTTGCAATACTTGAAATATGGTACCCAAGGAATTATTATTATTATTATTTGTAAGTAATTTGAAATTTTATTGAAACAGTGCAACAAATGTTATATTTCTTAATTTAAATAAAATATTTAATATACTATTAAAAGTTATGATGTATTTATTTTAAAACAATAATAGTTATTTCAGTCAGATATTATTGGTATCAATATAATTTTTGACCGATTCAAATCAGTTTCCTATTGGAGGTCCTTTGTATTTCATATTACTGAATGAACCTTATTAAAAATGTAAACTTGTGGGGCGTCCTGGTGGCTCAGTTGTTAAGCGTCTGCCTTCGGCTCAGGTCATGATCCTGGGGTCCTGGGATCGACCCCCGTCGGCTCCTTGCTCCGCGGGGAACCTGCTTCTCCCTCTGCCTCTGCTCCTCTCCTTGCTTGTGTGCTCTCTCACACTCTCTCTCAAATAAATAAAATCTTTACAAAAAATTTTAAACATATATTTTTATAACACCTATTGAGAAAAACTACAAAACAGATACCAGTAAGCGTAATAGGGGAGAAAAGTACATAATTTTACCACCAAAGATAGTAACATTCACTACTTTAGGTTATTGGTAGTAAGGAAAGTGCAAAATACATTATTTACAGTGTAACAGGTAGGTATAAAACTGTAATGCTTTATTTGATCAGCTTTTCTCAATGGGAGAATTTACAGGTCACTAAAGTAGACCTACATCACTTTAAATTGTTGCACACTATTGAATGTAGTGTAATTTTTCAGCTAGGCCATTATTGTCCGACTTACAGATTAGATGACCTTGCCACTGCCCCCGGCCCCCTTTGTTTTCCTAGTGAGCATTATGGTAAACCTGTGTCATGGTCTGTGTATTCCAGTCTGCTTCTCCCTTATACATTCTTACAGTGGAATGGCTGATTCAAAGTTATGTATGTTTTAGTAAATTGATATGCATTTATGTAAATTTGATATGCAAAAATGCCCTTCTAGATTCTTCTCATCTCTAAATGTTGGAGAGTTCAGTTTTTTAGTACTGGACCTATTCTCTATCTTTATTCACTCCATCCCTTGGCTTTAAATATGCTGATACCTCCCACATGTTTTCAGCCGAGTTCTTTGCTGAACGCAGGTTCACGTATCTATCCACATGACATCTCCACGTGAAGTCTAATGAGCCTCTCATACTTGATATGTCTAACTATATTTATCATAGCAAAATTTTAAAATGCAAAAGCATAGTATAATGAACCAGCATGTGCACAGTGTGAGCAGTTGTCAATGATCCATCTTTTTCGTATTTACAGACCTCTGGATTATTTTGCAGTCACTTAGATTACCTAACTTAATTTACCAAGTATTCCGTAGAGAACTCTGGATTTCTCGAATACACTTAAGCTCTTTCCCAGCGTTCCCCACCTCACTAAATGGTGCATCTGTTCACCCTGCTGCTCAAGCTGAAAACCATGGAGCCATCCCTGGCCCCCTCTGTTCTCATATTTCCAATACACAGTGAATCTTGTTGGCTAGACTTTACAAATAGTCCAGAATATGACCCCTCAGCAAGCTCCCCAATAACCAGTCTGCCCCTATTACTCACTGGACTCTGATCACCTTCCTTTCTGCACTGTCATCACTGCTCTCAAGGACGCCGTTTGTACTTTTAAAGATGCAGTCAATTCATTTTCCTCCACTGGCCAAAATGACTGAATCCCCATCACTCACAACTTCCAAAGTCTTATGACTGGCCTGTTGGACCTGGCCCCAGTAAGCTATCTTCCGTTAGCTCTCTAACTTGATTTCCTACCGGGGACCCCCTTGCTCACCACAGTCTCACTGGTCTGTGTGCTTTTCCTTTCCACTTCATCCAGGTCTCTCACAGTTTGCCCCACTCACATCCCTGACACTCACTATCCCTTCACTCTGCTTTATTTTCTCCAAGGCACTGTATCTTTGTTTCTTACCACTAGAATACAAATTCCACAAATGAAGACCTGGTGTGTTTTGTTCACTGTCGTAATCGGTCACTCAATAAATATTAATGGAACAACTCCTCTGAATCAGATGGAAAAGCCTACTTCACTCTTCACCAAGGCCATGGGTTCTTGCCAGAAAGCAGGACAAGATATTTACCATTCAAGAACTCCGCCTTTTTCTGCACCCATGATGACTTCTCACTGTCCTGAACGAGTTCATATCTTTAGGCTGATGGCACCTTCTTTGAAAATCAGGAGGCTACCCTACCTGCTTCATAGTCATGTGCTTTGCCTGACATTGGAGTGGACAGGGCTGATGGGGAACCTTGGAATTCTCACTTTGGGGGAAATCGGTTGGGCATGGCTTTAAAACATCTAATATGGAATTCCCGGAGCACTAGAGCTATTTTATAAGCCATCTCCATTCAGTTTCAACCAACGTATATTAAGTTCTTACTCTCTTTGCCAGTCATACGAGCAAAAAAAGTGAAAAAGACAGCCTCCGCCTTCAAGGAACTCACAGAGTACCAAAAGATAAAGATAATTGGAATACAAAAGATAAGTGCTTTCCTAGTTAAAGGAAAGATGGATTCCCTGGAAAGCTGTAGTGAAAAGAATACAAGCTTTTAGAATCTAGTTATTCTGGGCTGGGTTCCAGGTCTGTCACAACCCCTTTGAACCTTAGTTTCTAAACTTTCAAATGGGAACAGTATCTCACCCAGAATGTTTGAGGACAGACTTATAGCACCCAACATACAGAACGGCCCCTCCGGCTTTTATCACCTGCTCTTACCTGGGCCTTTCCAGAGGAGGTTAATTACACCAATGGGGGTTAATATAAGTGAGTGGATTCTGGAAACGTAAGTTGAATTCCCTCATCGTGGTATGGAGGGTTTTTCCTGGCAGAGGGAAGATAATAAATACAGGCATGGGGAGTACAAAAATTCAGGGGAGAATGTTTGTCAAATACTCAGATTTAGGTGGGAGGGTAAGATACATAGGTACCTTAGGATAGATTTTGAAAGATTTTAAGGTTTTTTAAAGTTTTTTTTTTTTTACTTCATTTATTTGAGAGAGCACATGAGCAGGGGAAAGCAGCAGAGGGAGAGGCAGAAGCAGACCCCTAGCTGAGCAGGAAGCCCAATTTAAGACTATATCCCAGGATGCTGGGACCATGACCTGAGCTGAAGGCAGACGCTTAACCGGCTGAGCCAGTCAGGAGCCCCGTGAAAGATTTTGAATGCCACACTGCAGAGTATGAAGTTGCATCTGGTGCTCAAGAAAAATGCACTGAAGAATTTTAAGCAAGATATTTCAGGCTCCCCTCTAAGGCTTATTTCTTGATTCCCCCATCTTAGTTCAAGTTCATGTAACAAAAATACCATCAACCAAGGGGCTTAAACAACAAACATTTATTTCTCACAGTTCTGGAGGCTGGAAGTCTGAGATCAAGGTGCCAGCATGGTTGGGTGAGGGGCGTCTTCCAGACTGCAGACTTCTTGTTGCGTCTCATGCAGGCTCGTTCCCTTCTCATGACTTAAACTCCTTCCAAAATGACTACCTCCGAATACCATCACCTTTCAGGGTTAGGATTTCAACATATGGTTTGGGGGGGGCGCACACAAACATTCAGACCACAGCAGTCATTTTGTAGAATAAGAAAGTTTTATTTAAATGTAAATTTGTCTTCCTATCTGAGGGCCTGCTGCTCAGTATTCTTGAGCTTCTATTGCTGACCATGCTCTCTTCATATACATTGTTGTGAAGACCAAATGTGTTTTAAAAGACCTGATATAGTACCTCAGCCATGATAGTCTCTAAACAAATGCAGTTTCCCACTACTCTTCATCTCTGCTTTTTCTCTGGTGGAAACATACCAGGGAAAGTCCAAATACCCAATCAGTGTTTGGTCAAAACTGATTTTTTCCCTTGATCTACAGTGATGACATTAAACAGTCATTTAACTATTATTCAGGGTATCATGTCAGGTGTGATCTCAAGCAAATGATTTATGTTCCCCAAACCTATCACTTAGCCTCATTGGAGTTCCTTGCTGGCATTTGTTGAGTGGTGTAAAGGACAGAGTGTTCTTAGGTCTCTCACGGCCCTAAAATTGTTACGTGTTTGTAACCTTCCATTTAGGGTTATCATGTACTGCTTGAATTTATTGAAAGCCTTTTTATGTCTATGGGAAGTTGTAGTGACAGTAGGATAATGACCTGATTCTATGTAAAATTTAATTTAGTGAATGGTCTTCAATACATACTATGTCTCAAGCATTATAACAAATTTGGGGATTAAAAAGTAACATAAAAATAATAGACCCCATGAAACATGAAATATGGTTTAGAATATGTTATATAACTTTAAATTCTTAAAATTTAACTTTCTAGATTAAATTAATGATCCTAAATGTGTTGGGGATATCTCTTTATTTGGAACCTATTGTTTAGATAATTGGTGAAAAATAGCCAAATATGTATTCTATTAAGGAGGTATTAATTCTTAACATTACCCTCTTATACTTTTAGAATTTTATATATATATATATATTAAAAGATCACATTGGCTGAAGACCTCAGTAGTGTTAATTAAAGACTATTTTCACATATTTATAAAAGACATATGCTTGTTTGTATTTCTTTAGACTATTACCCAAATGCCAACAATATTAAAAATTTTGATTCAGGCAAAAGGACATAAAAAGATGTATGAATGTCATGTAAGGACAGATGGCTTGCATCCTGGAGGCTTTCATTTCTTATGTATATTTTTTAGAATTCACTAGTAACTACAAATACTGTTAAAAGTCATGCAAAGAAGATTCTTTAGAAATGCGTGAAGTATCTGTCTAGACCTGTATACCTACTGATTTTCAGAGCCTGATGATGCTAACCCAAAAATTTGTATATGTTTTTTAAATAGAATTTTAATTCCAAATTCATCAAGATGGACCTGCGTCAAACCAAAGCAAGGCATCCTATTATTTCTACCATGAAATGCAGTTACTCCTATAATTTTCACTCTGCTAGTAGACCTTACTGGTTTTACGTGTCATGGTAATTTTATCCCATCTCTTCCTTTCTTCTTGGAATTAAATAATAATTCTCAAATAGTAGTGATATAAATAATGTCAAAGGA